TAAAATACTACACACTCCAACATTTCCTTTTTGATAGCTGAGAAGCACATAAAAGTATTCTTCATTAAATTTAAACGGACTCATTAATAAAATATTGAGGATGTGCTACTTTAAGACATCAGAAAAAAATAAGGTATAAATTGGCGATAACGTTATTTCTATTTTTAAATACATCCCACAGAGGCGCCCAAGATAGATGAGAAGTGCTAAGCCCACCCCGCAAGCTTATTTATTTATTTAATACTTCTTATGAGCTATTTTTAACCGCAGAAGACAGCAAAAGGCATCCATTAGAAAAATTATATTGGGTAGAGTTCTCCTCACACAGGTTAGACAAGTGAGATATCTGGCTGAACGCAGTGTTAAGAAGAGACGGGTGTTTTTTCCTTGCTTTCCTATAGGTTTCTGGAACAAAAAAGCAATTCTATTTTTGCAGCATCAGCTAGGCCAGAATTTGTATCTGCAAACCTCGGTCAGTCCCTACTCACTCCCCAGCCCCCTCTTCCCACTCCTCCACTTCCCACGAGGTTTAATTTTGTAAGTAATACCGGGTTTGAATAGGTACACAACAGCTTACCACGCAGGGACAGTTAAAACGGAGCTGCATGGGCTTGGTTTGGGTTTTTTAAGCCTCAGTTGTGCACACAGAAAAGAACTGAGAGGAAATGCCATGGTCTCATAGTATCGCATCATTTTGCAGAAGACCTCTTTCTCTTCGGGAGAGAAAAAAATTAAAAAATTTCCATTTTTTCAATAGAGTTAAAGGAATTATCTTAGTTGATGTTCGTTTTCCTTAGGAATCAAGCATCTTTGGTGAGCTAAGAAATCAAAGGAAGAATGTCCCATCCTTGTCTGTCCCATCACAAATACAAGTTTTCACGTACAAAAATGCCCAAGCTACGTTATCAAATTATTTACTTAGGGGAAAAACAAGTCTCGACTTGATTTCTACATGTCATCTTCCTAAACGGTTGCTTTCTTTGGGGAAATACCAAGTGTTTCATGCACAGCCTGAGCAGAACACCTTCCCTTTTCCTTCTGTGTGAAGGAACAAAGCCCGGAGTCCAGGGAGGCATGCTGGCACTCCCGAGCAGCTCCTGCCAGGGTTTCTGACGGACCAGAAGACAAAACTGCACGTAGGTGTTTAGGTGTTATTTCAGGAGGCTCTGCAAGCGTTTGAAGTCTCCTCCTAACTTTGTTACAGCAGACACAGCCTGAACTGGATGTGTGTTCGCTGCCTGGCCAGGTAAACAGCTACAGACAACCAAGAGGGTATAAAAGATGCATTTCAGCGGTGACACGGGTCCCCCGCCACGCTCCGGGTCCCCGCGCAGCGCCCAGGGCAGGGCGGGAGGACAGACCGCCCCGCGCGGGGCACGGCCCTGCTCAGCCCCTACGTGGGGAAGTCTCGGTGGTGGCCTAAGTCAGGCAAGCACAGCGCTGCGCAGCCAACGCATATGCAGCAGCTGGGTTTCTTAGCAGCTATTTCCCCTTCTTTTTAAATTTTGCACAAAGTGAGTTTTTGTAAACAAAACCATGGAGGTTTTTGGTGTCGCTCAGAACAAGGACAGTTTGTTCGTTCTACCTGCCTGGAGATAAGCTCAGTTTGCTGATAGCAAGCATTACTGAGCCCATAAATGGAAGGCTTTTATTCATAATCTATTCATACATGGCACCGACAATGCTTGATGACTAAGAAATACTTGAATTTCTAAAAGAAGTAGCTTTCTCTGTAGTGGAAAGGTCACATTGCACAGAGAACTATGCAAGCAGCTGATGCAGAAGACAACTGTCACCAGCGGAAAGTTGGATAAAAAGCAAATAATGAAATTTTGTGGGTACAAAAAATCACTACTAAACTCCAGATCCTGGATAAATATTCAAAATATTCTCTGTATTTGGAATCCAGCCTCAGGCCAGGCCTGGCTTGGGGAACAGAGCCTCTGATACAAGTTTGATTCCTGACTTGTTTCTGAAATATTCTGAATATTCTGCATGTGGGCCTTGGAAAGCAGACCAGAGTCTGCCAGTAGTAGGCAGGACCCCAAGTAAATTGTCTGCTGAAAAGCCGAATTTAAGAGTTCACATGCTTCTTCCCCCTTAAGTGTTACATTCAATGACGTTAGAAGGGCTCATTTCCAGGGCCCGCCATCCAGCCTACATTCCTCAGACTGCCCAAAGAGAAGAAATGCGAGTTATCTGTCCAGTTTCAGATTTTTGCTTGCAACCAGAAACTGCTGGGACTTAAAGCCTTAAACTCTGAATAAGCTTAATAAGCAGTTGTTCAAGAAACTAAGAAATTATATTTTCAAAATTTGGGAGTGTTGAAACTGTACCTCACCCATCCCCTCTTCTCCTAAGCGAGGAGCACGGACACACGCGCGACTCCATCTCGGAACCCAAAGACACGTCCTTCCAGGCAGACAAACTTTCCCACTGGAATAAAATCCTCCTCCACAACTGCAGGTTGTTACGCCACTCTAACGAGAGGAAGCAGAGACCTACCGTGTCAAACGGCTTCTTTGCATGACCCGATGCTGTACACGTAACGTTTCCCCCAGAAGTGCTGTTCATATGCACACGTGTGCAACATTTAAACTGAATACATAATCTAATGCTGTCAAAATAGCTCATTACCAGGGTCTCGGCGAATTCCATAACCACATGACACAAACAACATCCCTCTCACTACAAAAGCATGCTCGTGATTCAAATTTTCATTTACTAAAAGAATCATATTTCTGTCCGTCTTCTGCGTAGGGTCCCACACAGTGTGCTCACTGCAGAGCGAGCATTCACCACTAAGAGACGATTCTTCACGCTAAGCCGAAGCCTGAGCTGGAGAGCCGCTCGCATAAGCAGTAAGAGACCGCGGTGGAAGGCAACCTCGATTTTGTTAAACCTGCCCTATATACAACAGTGAGCTTTCCTGACCTCTTCTATTTTTATTTTAGCAACTAAGCAAAACAATGCAGCCACTACCTTAGGTCTGCAAATACTCCAAAATACTAATTATTTCCATTTATCTGAATGGGGACTTAAAATTATCAGTAACTTCTGTCATCAATTTTGCCAGACCCCTCTCGCCTATACAATTCTCTCCAGCTCTCAAGCTGCCTGAACACCCAGCTGCTTCTGGGATATTTTCAGCAACGTAGATGTTTTGGAAGGACAAAAATCCAGCAACACTATCGATTTAGAAGGAGAATATTCTGCTGTTTTCTGGACACAGAATAAATATGCTATTTAAAGTACATTAGTGATATATAAAATCAAGGAGCCTGTTAGGCAGTTTGGATTTCCAGATTCTGACCAGTTTTATGAACTACTGCAAGGAAAGAAACACGGTACGAGAAGCACAGGAAGAAAGAGGTTTTCCGATACCAGTTCCACACCAGACGACCTGACTCCTTGCTCTGTCTTTTGAAAACCACAGTAGCTTATAGCAGGGAAATTATTTTTCTCTCTGCAATGGATTGGGCCTAGAATGCATCCACACCTCCAGCAGGTCTGTCACAGAGGAGACCTGAGATCTCCTTGGCATTGGCAGGTTCTGGAAATAACTGACAAACTTCTCCTTAAGACTACAGCTACTACAGAAATAATTTCCGTAGGCGTAACCGCCCTTGACAAAAACTCACTCATTACCAGTCAAACCAGCAAAACACAAATCTCCTTGAAAACAAACAATGATCTGGAGGACCACAAAAGATCCCCCATGAATTATGGAAAAGCCAGGTCGTGTTGCAGCACTGGAAGTTTCCAGCCCTCGGCTGCGGAGATCCCGACTGCCGAACAGGAGGGGGAAACCAGCGCGCTGAGCCCCACAACCAGTAACGCTTCGCCCTTCAGCGTGGGAAAAGACAGATCCCCAAATCCACCCCTTCCAAACTAAATACATGATCAACTCTGACTTCTTAAGGAAACTGAGGTCCTAAACACCACCAATAAAGAAAAAGAAAAAAAAGGCAACATGAGTAGTTGGTCTCATGAAGACTAGTTACCCCGCAAAGCAAAGTACGCCGTCTCCCACATCATCCTTTTTCTCTTCCCGGGAGACCCCCATCAGCACATATATAGTGTCTTTCATACAGCATTCGGCTCCCCGTGTCTGGAGCAAGCTCGTTATTTGGGGCGAGCCTCTTCGTGCCCCTTCTGGACGAGCGGACACCAAGCAGAGCCTCACCAGAACACACGCCTGCTTCAGTTCGGTGCGCTTAGTTGTGGGTGGGGGGGTTGGTGTGGGTTGTTTGGGGTTTTTTTATTTCACCCTGATTTTTTCAGGCTACTGAAGCTACAAATGCATTCAAGTTGGATTTTTTTTTTTAAATGCAGAACTTGAACTGTATTTCTATTAGGAATAAAGGGGAGTGATTCATTTCAGAGGGTGGAGTGAGGGAGAACAGAGCTTGGAAAAAAAAATCAGAATTCAGAACAACAGAGTGAAAGGGAAAGTACCTGAAATAAGTCCTTACAGTTTATCTTGTACAAGATCTTACAGCAGATTGCCAGCACCAAGTTTTTGGGAAAGTTTTTCATACTTTTCAGAAAAGAAACTACCTCCTCCCCCCCCCCCAAACCCCAAACAATTCAAGTGCCAAAGAATCCCATTAAAAAAAAATAAAAAAATCTACTCCCTTACAAAGGGAGGCTGGGAAAAAAATAAGAAAACTCTACCTTCGAGAATGCAGGTGTTTCAAGAGATTACAAAAAGTCACAAGTGTTGCCTACAGGGGCCAGAGTCTTGAACTGTGCATTACACCACGTACCTGATCATACATTCAAATTTAGGTAACGACAGAAAGGCAGCTTTTCTTGGTCCCTCTGCACACTAATGTAATTTTGCTTTGAAACACCAAATAGGAAGACATTGTGCATACTGAAATACAAGTATTTAAAACTTTTGCATGTAGGTCTCAATTGATTTTCAGGTTAAAAAACGGTTTGCCTTAACCTAACCTACTGTTACACTTAGGCCACATCCATCTAGATGTACCTACCGTGTGGTAGTGTTATATTTGCACCATCAATGATTGCTTGTGCCAGTTCGTGATCATTGCTCTCAAAAGCATGTGCAGCGGCCTTGAGGGCATCCCAAATCTCCTTGCGACCTTCGAAAGCTGGTGCTGTGTCCCAAAACTCGTCTCTCTTACTGCGCAACTGTCCGTCTGTCATGGGGTAATCACTTTTCCATTTCGGTTTCTCTTTTTTCAAGGGCTGATTACGACCGAGAGCAACTGCGGAGGAGAAAGAGGAAGGGAAATTAAAAAAAGGTAATAGCACAAAATTACTGAAGTGCCCTTTGGTTATTCTGTTTAGGATCCAGGGAGCTGAAGTTCGCTTTCAGGCAATCCTGATCCTTTTTTTCCATCTCCTCGAGGCATTACCTCCCTTTCCCTGGGTTCCAGGTTGGTTTTACCTCTTAGAAATATTGAGGGGCAACCTCCTGCTTGCTGATTTCACCTGCACCCCTGGGAACCCCACAACTTCTCCCCCAGCTCCCCGGTAACTCCGCATCCCTCCGGCCGCGCCGCATGCGCCTGGCTGGGAGGCTGGCACCCGACGCAGGCACCCCCGAGGCTGCGGCAGCGGTACAGCCAGGTGCCCGTTAGCCCAGCACCGGGGTGCAGCGAGACCAGGCTGCACCCGGATCTCTGCTCTACACTGCTAGCAACGCTCTCTGCTCAACAAATGGGATACTCCGTTAGTACAAGAATTTTAAGAGGTTAAAGATTTTTTTTTTTTTTTTGCATCATCTCCTTTTAAACGGTTTTAATTCAGAGTAGGCATATGTAGAAAGGCAAGTACGATCCACAAAGGCTAGAATTGTCAGAGACAGAAATCCCTAAAGAATAATCCAGGAATCCATCAATCCTGAAAAAGTAGTTACCTCGTTCACAATAAAGACGAAAGCAGTTGCTTCACTTTAACTACAGCTATTTTTGTGTAACGGCCAGTTAAGATAATCACATAGGTATAATGCTGGTGGATTAAAACTACCTGCTCGCTTTAAACTACAGCACTGCTAAGACCGTGCTAAACCCTCCTCTTCCATTTGTGTGCGAAAGGGGTTATTTCAACTTCTCTTGAAAGGAAAGGGAAAAAGAGGGGAGCAAACGCCAGTGCACGCCGGGAAGAATTCCTCCCTGCGAGAGTTAAAACCCCATTTCCTTCAGCCCCGGAGAGAGCAGCGACAAACCACAAGAACAGTTCTCACCACAGCTCAGTACCGCAAAACCTTGAACACAGAGTTTAAATGTCTCCAGAGGAAACGAAGTGTCCTTCAACAGCTAAACTAAATTTAAGTGTGTTTGCAGCTGAAAATAAGCAGCCCCTCCATGGGACAGGTCACGGAGACTGGGGAATGAGTACTGAAGGCTCGTGGAAGACAGGTAAGCTACACAGGCCTGAAGTCCATAGGGATCCCACCACACACGATGCTGGAGAGCCATCCTCTCCTACGCTCCCCGTGAAGAGCCCTTGCCGCCCCGAGGGAGCACAGGAACCCCAGCTGCCATCAGGCCAGGGCAGCACGAAGAGATGGAGATGGAGTCTGTCGCCCCACGCCCACCTTACCGAGGCCGAAAGGGCTTTTGCAAGAACGAGACACCACAGCTGCTGCGGTATCAGAGCCTGCGGAGCAAGGCTGCTGCTTACCAGGTGCTCCGGCTAGCCTGCAAGGATGGGAGAGCACCAGGACAAACACAAGGGTTTACATCTAGCACTCTATATCCCATCTACATCCTTAGAGATAATAAGAAACATTTCCTTTCTCCAGACCCTCTTATTTTTCCAGCAGAAAGTTGACAATAGCTGACAAAAAAACCCTTATATCTCTCCTCAATCTTAGTCCAGCATTCAGTTATCAATGGAAGAACAGTGTAATGTCTAAATATTCTTCATAGTTCTTAATCTAGATTTACGCTGTATCGCTACAGTTAACTACAAACCATATTTATGGCAAAGAGTGTGGGGGAGTGAGGGACATGACTGAGAAGACTAAGTGTCAAGGTATCAGAAATACTCATTTCAGGTAAGCTGTAACATTTTGCAAAAATAGTATTGAATTCAAATATTCCCTCTCCTTCCTTGATTTTTTTTTGTCCTGCTGCTGTTTTCAGAGCAGCACTCGGCAGCGAGCGCGGGGTCCCGGGGCCGAGCGCCAGGGCCCGGTGCCGCAGCAGGCGTTCCAGCTTCGCCCAGCAGACCAAAACACGTACGCGAGGTTAAACCTCGCGCCCTTACACAACCTGACGTTGTGTGACCAAAAACTACCTACTTCAACTCACAACTCAGAACGACATTCACACTTCAGAGGCTGAGACTTAAGTCTTTGAAAATAGGGTATTTAAAAGAACTGCTGATGGTAAGGCAGTATTGCCAACTATGTGAAGGCATGAGCCTTCTTCAGATTGAAAAAAACATAGTAGAGGATCTATTTGCTTGGAAACAAAGTCAAAACATAATTAAAAGTAGCAAGTTACAATCGCATGGCATATACACAAGGACTCCAGCTGTTACTCTGTATCCCATGCAGAAACTAACAATAATAAACTTCTGAATCCTTTCAAGTGACCACAAACATTATTGCTTTTTGTTTCCATGGGATCGCTTCCATTTGCCTTTCAAAGCAGGGCTGACCATTTAACGGAGTTCGGAACAGCAAACCCGAGCGTTTACGAAACGCCGGGTTTGCTGGCGAAGCCCAGCCCTCGCCCCGGCTGCGCACACCACGCCGGGAGCCGCGGACGGCCCGGCCCAGGGCGACGGCGAAGGAGGTGGCCCAGGCCCGACGGCGAAGGAGGCGGCCCAGGCCCGACGGGCCGCGTGCGCTGAACAGCAGATATGAAATTGTAAAAACATAGGTGGTAAAACACTGAAACGAGGAATTGTTTCCTTATTAAGGCTTAGCAGCCAGAGCATGAAAATTTCAGACAGACTGAACAGGACACTAAGAAATTTGGGTCAGCGGGCATTTTTTCCTCCATTCTGCTTCGGCTAGCACGTGTTTGCATGTACGTTCAACGCATGCTAATCCATCCCCCAGGACCCTCTCCTCCTCCACAGACATCAGTCGTGAAAGCGGGTTACAGGCTCCCCCGGCCTAAGACAGCATCTGAATGCATTGCTCTTCACTAGACAAGAACAGCAGGGGAGAGACTAAAGAGACAGAGATCCTAACAGCCTCAGATAACTTCTCCCTGGAGACACGATCCTTCCTACACAGACAGCAGCGATGATAAACCCAGTGATAATTTCTTTTTTCCAGTTGGGAAGAAGGATAGTGGAAGAAAGCGACTCTACAAATGCCTCTAAAGCCAAATGCACTCTAACAAGCCATCTATCCTAGTACTAAGCCTTTAAACACAACTTGGCTTCGTGAGCCAGTATTTAAAAAGGTCTTTAGCATGTTTACCATTTATTAGAAGTGTTTCAAGAATCCCCTAAAAGCTTTATGCTCCCCACCCTGAAGAAATACTAATCTCTCTTTAGCTGTGTGGATAGATAGAGCAGAAGGGATACAAGAAACTTAAGACGTGTAAAAAACCTAATGTGTAAAAGGGCCCAAATCTCTCGCTTTCCACCTCATGTTTTAGTCACTAAAGAGAAACATCACTACATGAATTTCTACAAAGTTTTGGACCACATCAAAGGACTTTCCCTTTTCTGTAATAAGGCTGATAAAGACTAGTCAGAATAGGCAATGGAACAAACAGCAGCAGCCTGAAAACAGTTTGTCAGGTATTTACAGTGTCAGCTTTCTATGCCTCACTTCAGAAGCAAATGCGAACTCAAAAGAAAATGTTGACTTCATTTAAGGCCATGCACATCAGAGGCACAACCAGCTTGCAAGATCTGGAAAAGAAAGTAACATCCACATTAATTTTTCATCTTACATCACTTCAACATAAACAAGAAATTATTAATATCCTGCTTGAAAATATGAATAGTTTCATAAATGCCAAAAAGGCATGTTCTCTCTGAAGCAATACTGAAAGATGCCCATCACAATAGATGGTAATGGTTGATATTTTTGGCAAGAGATTTATTTAGAATGAAATCTGAAGACCATTAATAGTCTACTTCTCAAAAAGAAAAAGATCGGCACATTCGTGACACTTCAAAATAATTTAGGCTGTTCTTGCTCCAGTAGCTCTCAGATATTCAGGTGGTGCTGTGCATCCCAAAAGAGGGGTAAGAAGGTGCTGCAGCCTGCAGGGCCTTGCCTGAGAGCAGCCTTTCTCAGGGAGGAGCAACCGTACAGGCCACTATGTGGCCCTACGAAGGGTTTTCCCAGGCTGGGCACGGGGGTTACTGTGAACAGATTACAGATGCTCTTGATCCTCCTGGATACTGGACGTGTTCTGGCCAGAGAGTTGCCTTAAAGATGCCTCCTGAGCCGTTTCTGTTCCCCTCCGGTCCAAGCTGCACCTACTGGTTCCACAGCACGCAGAGCACAAACCCCAAACATCATTTTTCGGACTTGCTAAGGTCTGTTCAGGTTAACAGCAGCAGAAGCAATAGCTGAGAAGGTACGAAGTCCTGGTAATTACTGTCTGCATCATGAACTTTCTAGGGCTCAGCACGCTTACAAGAAGAAACCCAAACCTATCCAGGTCGGCAGTCGGGGAGACAGCGCGAGGCTGGGGCAGGAGAGGGGATGCAGCGAGGCGCAGCGAGCTGGAGAAGCAGGCGAGGAGAGAGGCAAGTCTGGGCTGAACTCAGCACCCACCGGGCCGGCACGTCTGCCACGCAGGCGGCCCTGCACATGCAAAATCCAAGCACGGCTCAAGGCCCCTCCCTAGTCAAGCGTCCCTTATTGGACTGCGTAACACCTCCAAGTGACCCCAAACCAGCGGCAGACAAGCGGCTGGCCGCTTCTGTCCCAGCAGCGGGATTTAGCAGCGTATAGTGTGTTTTCCCTCCACAGGCAGGGGAGTACCCCGGGATCCTCGAGGCAGCTACTACCGTCTGCCCCACTAACCTTAGCTCCCGGCAAACTACAAAGTCTTATTTTTCAGAAGGAAAGATGTATTTCTCCAGTCCTTGCAGACTATTTTATAACCTGAATTATGAAGGTTTGTTTCCCTTCCCTGCAGCTTCCCATCCAAGCAATGGAATCAGTAAGGTTATCTACACTTCTTTTGAGTGAGCTTATGCAGATAAATCCAGATATTTAAATCAGTTTCTTAACAGAATGTCAAAAAACGTCTACGTAGAATTTTTTTTTTTTTTTAA